TGCTCTCATGTTCTAATCCCCGCCGTCAGTTTGGTTCCATTCAATTCAGGAAAAGAATTATTATTCATGCACATCTTAACTGAAATACATGTGCTGGTCTAAATGCATTTTAATCCTTCAACAGCGTGTTACTTTATGTCCAAAAACAAAAACTACTACATCATGAATGTTTCTTTTCTCTTTTTGGTATTTTTCTCCCACACGGACGATCTGGATTTACTGAAGCTGATGTTGGCCTTTCGGTATCCGTGACAACGGGGCCGATCTATACATTCAATGCCACAACTACGTGTGACTGTATGTGCGTGTGCCACGTCTGGCTGCGTGGCTGAGGGAGCTAACAACAAACATGTCAGCTGCTTGGAGGTTTTTCATAGAAAGAGAAACGGAGAGAGTGAGAGAGAGAGAGAGCGAGCGCAATCTCTCTAGCAAATCAAAACTACTGATGTCAAGATAGTCTGACATTTGGCATTGTGGGTCAAATGTGCACGTGGTGTGAGCAGGAAAGCTGGTTGCTCCCCGTGGATGCTGCATTCAGGCGGAGAGTTCACCGTCTCCCTTTTCAACTTGAACCACCAGCGTTGTTGTGCGTTTCTGCTCTGCTGACTGATGTCAGTGGAAAAACCAGTCCACTTGTCCTCAAATGGTTTGTAAGCTTCCTCTGCCATCAACTTAATCCAGCCAGATGTATGAACATCTGTAGTCTATGTGGCAGCCACCTTTCGTCTGCTTGTTGGCAGGAGTACGATGGCCAGAATTGCGAGGGTCCTTTTCATCAGGTAGCAGGTTGTGTTGCTAACGCGCTCGGCGTTGGCGTGCTCCTCGCTGACCTCGGACCGCCCTGCGTTCTCTCGCCCTCGTCTCTCGGAGATGTGAGAGGCAGTTTTGTCATCCAAGTGAGCGAGTTCCCTTCTTCCGCTCCTCCCTGAACATCTTTTTTTTTTTTTTTTAATTCCTCTGAACAGCTGGGTGAACATCTGGGTGAGTAGGTTGCCGTTTCTTCGGCGTGGATGATAGCACCACCAGGCGAAGGAGGCCCCACTTTCATCCAGAGTCATGCAGGTGGTCAGCTGCAAGGTGCACGTCCTCACAGTGATGCAGTCAGATGAATTGCTTAATTGACAATATGGCCTCAAAGCGTCGTGGTTTCTCGTTTACCCTCCAGACCTCTGGTACTGTAGTACAACTCTTTCACCAGCAAAAGCCGATTCCAGGTATCCGGTACCTGGAGTGTAATGAGGAAGCATGGGACCAAAGAATAAGTAAAAGGACCAGAAGAATTGGCAAACATGTCAAAATCATCAATGCAGTTGTACAGTGAGTGACTGGTCTTACTGCTCGGCAACATGAAGTTCCCTCCCCTGTCCCTCGCCGTGTAGGACGTCCTGTCCCTCTTTGACGTGGGGTCTGTGTGCGAGGGCGCGTTCGCGGCACTGTGTTGCGTGTCAAGGGGCTTTAGCGCTGAACAATGTCGCGCAAATGCGCCACGGCCGCATGGCTGATTAAATTAGTTGTTTACCCCCCCCACAGCCCCCACAGTCCATCTGCTCTGCCCGTGCACTTCAGTACTGGTCTCAGGCGCTGCTCCACAGACCACATCCCACCCTCCCCGACCCACTACAAATCCCCATGTCTCTCTCTCACACACACACACACACACACACACACACACACACACACAGTTTTGAATAGTTGCAATATCCAGCAGCAGCCCAATCACGACTCGGTTCAACCTCCTGCCAAGAGGGCTCTGGCTTCCCTCTATGCAGATTAGCCATGTGCTAATTGTGGTTATTTATTTATTTATCTATTTTATGGAGGGGGAAAAAAAAGAAAGGAAAGAGTTTCCTCCAGAAATTGATTAGATGACGGGGCAGAAAGCGAGTGCGGCGAGGTGAGCTGCCGACCAGCGTGCACATTTGAGATTTCGGCTGCCGTCGGTCTGATATTTGTTTACATGTTGGAAGGTTGGTGATCCATAAATTGATCCCCCGTGAAATGTTTCTGAATCGATCTGTGTCTGCATGGTGCCACCCTCCGCTTTAATGATTAAATGAAGTTTCTTTGTTTAAGTTCTAAATCATTTGATATTATCTCTAAAAATATACCACTAACCTTTTGGATTGAAGATCGGCCTCTCAGCTGAGACGCTTTCAGAAAGAAACTGAGTGGGTTGTTGCACATGTTTTTTTTTCACATGCCCTTTGATGTGTGTTTCAGGGATTCTCCCTACACATTATAACTAGACCCTTTTTATCAATCACATGCATTTTAAAATTCTACTATAGAAGCGATATTGATTTTCTGGAAATATTTATATCATGTAGGCCACAGTGTTGTTGATGACAAATAACTGCAACCTCATCAATGCATGTTGAAAAAGCATGTTTATTACAATGCATCAGAGGCTCCACATAGTATGACTGCATGCTTGTTCAGATATTAGTGCACGTATTTAGTTTAATCAAAGAACAAGATAAGTGATTTATACACCAAAACTACACCAGATATTTTTAACGTAGAGCGAAACCATAAACTTCTCAAAATAGCTTAGAGTTGTGTGGATGGAGGATCATATCAGGAGAGACGAGGCAGAGCGATGACGTCTGCTTCATATCTACTAAGAGAAGAAACACAACCTGCATATTTCTGAATGTTTTACTCATCTATAGATCCAAAATCGTGGGTGCTTGTCCCATTAAGCATTTTTGCGCCGTTTTTTTCTCTGCAGAAGCTAACGTTAGCCAGGCTGCTAACTAGCCGTAATGCTAACAATCTATGAGCAACCGCGTGGGTCTTAAAATTAAAACCAGCAGACAGAAGATCACCTGCGATCGTTTACCGCTTGTCTTTGCCGCAACAAAAATACTACTTGGTTGTGCGTCGGCGATGTGAGGAAACCGCTGGTAAACAGATCAATGGAGGCCGAGGAGGACAGATTAAGACCTCCGGTGCAGGTTTAACACCCTACAGGGTTTTGTTTTGGGGGGATTCTCCGGGTGGGCTCCGGGAGCTGGAAACCCGGATTATATTCCGGTTGTACCTCTTTAGGGCGCTCTGCCTGCTGAAGGTACGAGGGGAAAGGCAGGTACGCGGGCCGGTGAAGACGTATCCGTCCGGCTGGCGGAAAATATCCACCGAAAAAAAGCCTCGATAGTTTTGTCTGGATGAGGGACAGATTTTTACCTTTTGGCGTTGTTTGTTTCGCTCACTGGGCATTTTTAGATTTAGACCTCAGCCGAGCACTTTGCCGAAGACGCTTCGTTTGGGGCGACGGGACGGTTTTATTATCATTGATATTTACAGACGGTGCCGGCTTCACCGGTCAGCATCTTTGGCAAAAGAGGCGCGTTGGCGAATGGACTCGTGTGGCGGGACGGTTTGGTGGAGGTTGATGTCCTTCCTTGCAGACTGGGGTTAAAAGTGCATTAGAGGTCACACGAGAGCCCCCCCCCCCCCCCCCCTCCCCAACGGCGCTCCGGTTGGTAATGACCCTAGGGAACGTAGTAACACCACCCCCCCCACCCTCCCCATCTGTATTTCCCTCCACACACAGAGAACATAACACACATACCTTCCTGAACCTGGAGGAGCTCAGGGGAGTGTGGCCTGGGGCAGGCTAGAGGGAAAACCTGGAATGGAATATGATAGCGTGGATAATGTTGGTTGACCGCTTTGACAGCCTGTTGACCTCCCCTCTCCCCCACTGGCCCCCACCGACTGTCAACACCAGTCTACCCACACACACACATAGACATGTATGTGTGTGTGTGTGTGTGTGTGTGTGTGTGTGTATATATATATATATTTTTTTTCACACAAACACACACAACTCCTGCCGAGCCGCCCCCACATGACCTCCCCCGCTCTTATTGCAGCACTGTCATTCATAGAGTGCCAAAAGCCTGCTGCTTTATTAAAGCCCAGGAAGAGCACGGCCTGGCCCGGGTTCAAACAGCAGTGCAGCTGGGACCTGTTACATATTCGGCAGACTGCCCTCTCCGTCTCGCTGGCTATAAATAGCCCCGGTGGTTGTCTCCCTTCACCAAGGAAGATTTTTTTTTTATTTTTTATGGAGGGGCAGGAGGGAGGGAGGGAGGGAGGAACCACACACACAGATTAATAACCGTGGGAAGCGATGAAAGCTTTGTGCCTGCTGCCCGAGGTCAGCAGGCCAGGAGGTGTTGCTACTTCAAAGACCCCATTGTGGCGCGTACTTTCAGACGCCACCGCGCCGGGTTTGATGGGAACACGCAGGCTGCCAGCGGCGGGATGGGCCGACGGCATCACATCGTGCCCACCGGGCAGAATATTATTGTATACATTGTGGGGCTCCCTCATTGTCCCGCCCTCTCCATTTCTTATCCACGGCTCCCCCGAGCCAGAAAGTCCGTCCGGCCCAGTAACATTTCCTGCCCAGGACTGCGTGCCCTCCCCATCCCAGCAGCACCACCACCCCGGCTAGCACCATCCGCTTCAGACACTTTCACTTCTTTAAGCTTATTTTCATAGAAACGTTTCTGCCGTAACCGTATCCGCCCACTGGCACAATGATCCTGGGCAGGGAACCGCTGCTGGCGGATAAAGTGGGCTCATTCATTCGTTCATTCATTCATGGCCAATTCCTTTCCCTTCCTAGGCGGAAATTAAATCCACTACTGTTTTTTTGCCCCCCCTCCATTTGTACTTTTTTGTTCCATATTTGCGTCATTTTACTGTGACTGGCTGACGAGACGATGCTTCGTTTGTGTTCGTTGCTGAGTAATGACTTTTCAAGAAAGGAAAACGACAAACCACTTAAGGTTCCAAAGTAACTTTGTCCTATTTTTTCCTGGTGAATCAATGGATTCTCAACAACAACTTTTACGTCATACTACAGTATTTTTTCACAGCTTATTAGGATGTGACTACAGTTTTCACCAGCGCTGTAGACCCCAAATCAATACTTCTAAAGTCCACCCCTCCTTGGTTTTATCTGACACCATGTCTGTGTCCTACAGCCTCCTAGCCCAATGGACCAGGTCGGGAAGATGCGCGGGCAGTCGTACGGGGGACCCAACCCTTACTCACAGCAGCAGCAAGGGACCCCCACAGGGCCCGGACCCCAGCAGGCGGGCCCTTACCCGGGCCAGGGCTACGGACCTCCGGGCCCTCAGAGGTATCCCATGGCCATGCAGAACCGAACACCTGGTGCTATGGGCGGCATGCAGTACGGCCAGCAGGTCAGTGATCGTACATCTACACCCTCCCCATTTTTAAAGCGCTACAAGCCACATTTACTTTGATATGAAAATCTGATGAAACAAGTAGGTTACGAAAACTGAAAGTAGAGGACATTGAGTGTGAGATCCTCGGCCCTGATGCAGAGCACGGTTCCAGTCCAGCCCACCAGTTAATAAGTCTTTTTATATTCCTGTTAGTTGGGGCAGTGGAGCGTTTGTTTGGTCAGTGACGTGCTGCTACAGGAATGGCGGATGTGGTCATATTCAATAGATTTAGTGATTCAAAGGAACCCAACTCGTACTAGGTTTTGCACGGCGAAGTCTGCACTAAATAGTTCTCAGCAAGGGCTTTGCATCCTCATTTGTCGGGGTGGGATCAGTTGTTTGGTGTGAAACTTTCTTCAGAACTTCAGCAAGAAGGAAAATGAGGGATTGTCCCTGCAAGTCGCTGGGCAGAACGCGCAGAAGGAAATGTTTGCATAAAGCGCAAATTACAAGAGCGTACATGTTAATAAATGACGACAACAACACGTCGACAACGCGATTTCAAGTGTCTGCGGTTACGTGTTAATTGCTAACCGATTGGTCGGATTTCCTCTTGAAATTTAAAGCTGCAGCACTTTTTTTTCATAACGTGGGGCCGAGCACACAGGCCACAGCATGTTTAAAAAAAAAATGGACGACGACAGGTTTCCGGTAGCGTAACTTGTGTTTCATCGAACAACGAGTCCGGACTCGTTTGCGGATGCAGTTATCAGTGTTTTAATCGATTGTCCATCCTGAACTTCCCCCCGTAAATTCACACTAACTGTATTCAAATAACACGGACTCTGAAGAGAGCGAGCTCTCAGCGTTTTTTCCCCACCGGGTTGATTTTCTCTCTCAAAACACTAAAAACTTTCTGACGGGTTGTTCGCCCCAATTTGCAAGCGGCTCGCCCCGCGCTTTGAACGAGACCCTTGAACTCCCTCCGTCGGCTCAGTCCGTTCTTAACGAGACAAATGCATGCTGGGAGTCCCGTGGAGCGAAGCCTTTTCTTCCCCCCGTCGGCCGTCTGCGGTCTCGTGCCCATTGTGTGCTGTGATTATCTCGTAGCAGCCCGCCTGGTGTCCTGACCGGGGACTCGATAAGTGGCCTGCGGAGAAGACAAACGGCTTCCCTCCTTTTGTCAGACGGATACAACACAGCCACCCCACGTTGTTTAAAATGTGTGGCGGTTCTTTGACGCCTTGGAGTTTCTTTTGAATTGTCGAGTGGCAGAGAACACCCCCCCCTCCCCCTTCCCCCCCCCTACCCCAGAAAAATAAAATAACATGTGGATTTTCTTTTCTCGCTCTTCTCCTTTCTTTCGTTTTTTTCCTCCCTCATAATTCTCAGTTTCCTCACAAGGTCAGCTCTCTTTCTCCTTCCGTGCTCCTCGAGGGTAATGAAACAAAATCGCCGTATTGAAAGGCTCTCCGCGCGCAGAATTGGGCAGAATATGAAAAGCCTCATATTGAAGTTCAAGGAGATGAAGTCCAAACTCTCTTCACAGCTGTAATTTGAAGCGATACACGGCCGACTTCCAGCGCTTTGACTGATCGGGTTATTGCGAGGAACGCGCTCGCGTCTCGCTGACCGAGCACTTGTCTCTCGCTGTTAGTCTGTGTGTAGGATGAAGGGATGCTCCGATGGTACAAAGAGAATCTAAGAAGTTACCGGGGTATTGGGGTATTTTTATACGTTTTGACTGTTGAACAGGATCCTCAGGGTGGTAAACCTGTCGGAAAGGTGTTTGTGTTCAGAGGTCTGTGTTGTATTTTCTCTCGTACGCCTGCTTACACTTTCTGTTTCCACGTTTAGATGTCAGCTTATGGACAACAGGGGCCTGGTGGCTACAGCCAGCAAGGCCAGGGCTACTATGGCCAGCACGGAGCCCCCCCCCACCCTGGCCAGCAACAGCCTCCGTACTCGGGGCAACCCCAGGGCACCTCCGGGGCGCCCTACCCCCAGCAGGGCCACCCCTCACAGCCGTCCGGCCAACACGGGCAGCCGGGACCCCCCTACCAACAGTCCCAAGGTCCACACGGTCCTCCTGCGGGTCAGCCCCCCTACAGCCAGTCCCCACAGTCTCAGCCGGGGCAGCCGCCCTACGCCCCTCCCCAGCAGCAGCAGCAGCAGCAGCCGCCTCAACAGCAGCAGCAGGGGCCGGGTCCCCAAAGTCAGCAGGGCCCTCAAGGCCAGCCAGGCTACCAACAACCCCCTGGACCGGGGCAGCCCCCGCAGCAGCAAACCCCGCAGCAGCAGCAACAGCCGCAGCAAGGACCCCCACAACAACAACAACAACAACAGCAGCAGCAGCAGCAACAACAACAACAGCAACAGCAGCAGCAGCCAGGAGGTCCACCTCCTCAAGCCCAGCAACCTCCGGGTCACGGCCAGCAGGGCCAACCGTCACCGTACTCCCAGACACCCCCCCTGCAGCAGCAGCAGCAGCAGCAGCAGCAGCCGCCACCACAACAACAACAACAACAACCACCGCAGCAACAGTCACCATATCAGAGGTTCCCGCCTCCACCACAGGTAATAATAAAGTCCCCCAGGCCTCCGTTACAACGGCGATGCAAATCGCGAACTGTCCTTTTTTGTTTATATTTGCCTTGTCGTGTAGTGGACCGTTGAGCTGGTTATGCACGTAGTCGTTCATAACATAACCGGTCCAGAAAGGGTTTGAATATGCGGCGTGAGTGAGCACAGGAGGATCACACGGGAGAGAAGCTTCGCGCTTTTGTTTTTAGGTTGTTGGTGGGATAACGTGAAGATGAAGTGCACAGGCAGATAGCCTTAACAATGTCATCCTTCATATGTATATTTTTTTCAAACGTTGTCTTATCTGCTTCTTGTCCTCGTAATCAGGAACTCTCCCAGGATTCCTTTAGCTCCCAGTCCAGCGCTCCTCCTTCCAACCAGCCCATGGCTTCCAACAAGAGCAGTCAAGAAGACAGCATGCAGGGCCGGCCCTCCAGTCTGCCGGTGAGCCCCCCCCCCCGTCTCTTCAGCTAACCTCTGACTTGTGCTCCTTGTCGCTGGGTTTCATGGTGCACTGACCACCTTGCTGTTAATGTGTCTTTAATGTGTTTTTTAATGTTGACCTGTCGGTAATGGAGTTGTCATTCAGCCAAGGCCAGAAAAGGCAATAATTGATAATAGAGTACTGTGTCTGCAAGTGGCTTTATTTTCTTTTTTTAAATGAAAGCGGGCGAGCTTAAAGCTGGAGGAGCTTTTTGTTTCTTTAAAAAAAACTCGTGCAGGGTTCCACTCTACGGTGTAAGCCTACATCGAAGGACCCCCCCACACACACACACACACTAGTGATGCTAGTAATTGGACTGATGCTGATTCCGGTTGCCGCCGTCTTTTTTATTTCTTTTTATTTCCCCTTTTGTGAAAAGAGAACAAAGAAACTTACAGATTCAGACCAGCACTCCACTCTCTTAAAATAAGCACAAACAAATTCATCCAAATTTACAAAACAGCCTGATGTGACACTTTTTCAGAACACGCATAGCCCAACAAACACATTGTTTAATGTGAACTCATTCAAATAATTAAATAACTATGATCAACAACTATAAACCAGGACCTTCTTTCACCTCTTGTATGTTCCATGTTCTTGTGTTTCCATTAAGCACACGCTAGACTGCAACACGGACGGAGCTCTTTAGCAAACGGGAATCGGCCTCCTTTCAGTAAGACGCCTGGTTTTCTTTAAGCAGATAAGCATCTGTGGCTCCTTGCTGCTCTTTGACGTCGTGGCCGATTCTTGAGGAGCCGGTATTCAGCTTTGTTCACCGTGTCTGTTGGCACTTCTGCTAAATCGAAATGTTTTTGACTCAATATCTGGATATTGGTCGCAGCAATGACTTAAATTCGCCCCCCCCCTTCCCCCACACCCCTCTCATCCCTCCCTGCTGCCTCAGACTCCAGCACACACACAACAAGCCGATGGCGGAGCGAGTAAAGCGTGTTGAAGCAGGGGAGGTTTTTCTTTTAGAAAAAAAGAAGAAAAAAAACATTTCTGCCAGGAAAGGGATTGTTGGAAGTGAAGTAAATCTGCTGTCTGATTGCCCTCTGGCTAAGATAAAGGTGAGAGAAGTCCCCCCCCCCTCCCCCGCAATCCTCCCCGTTAAAGAGGTGTCTCGCTATAACACGTTGCAGTTTCCATGGCAGTGTTTATAGGTCAGACTTCGCAGCTAACCTCATTCTGGGCCTCGGGGAAGGAGAGTGAGAAATGAGATCATTAATGAGGGAGAATGAAAGTGAGAGAGCAGATTCGGCAGCGGTGAGGTTTGGAGGAGGAGGGGGGGGAGGCGGCGCAGTGCAGGAGGGAGGGAGTGCAGGCAAATAACTTCAAATAGTGTGAGTGATCGGTCGTAGAGGGAGACGGAGGGAGGGAGGGAGGGATGAGAGGCGGCAGTGTCTCATGCCAGCAGGGGATGCCCTCAGGATGTGTTTCCCTCCTCATTTATTTATTTATCTTATTTATTTATACATCTCCCTGTGGGCTCAGCCATTGGCCGAGCGGGCCAGACCCGGGCTATTTTTATTTATTCCCCCCGACTTGTCGGGGATTCCCTACCGGAGCTTTGTGATTGGCTGTGAGATTAGTCCGGTCATGGTGGAGATGAAGCAATCGCCTCCTCGTCTCCTTCCTCCCTTAGCCCCCCACCCCCCCGTGGAGCGCCCGTAACACCCCGTTGAGATTAGGCCACGGGTGCGACCCCGACAGCCAGTGTCAAAGCGGCTGAATGGACTCTCACAGGTGCTACGAGGAGATGTGAATCAGTGGCATCTCCCGGGCTGCTAATAAGCTGCTTTGCGCTGCACAAAATGTAAGAAATAAATAAATAAAGTGTTTGTGGGAGAGTCGGACGTTGCTCTTTGCTCGTTAAGAAGAGGATCCGTGGCGGTGAAAGCTTCATTGAGCCTAATCCGGTGGTAGTAGCAGTCGAGCTTATTGTGGCATCCCGTCTCCTCTGTGGTACCGTCTAAGACTGTCGATAATCATAAGTAGGCATCGGATGTGTGACCGCTTGCTCACCCCAAATTTGCAAAGATCCTCAACTGCCTAACTTATTCATCTAGGACCCCCCAAGATCTTTCCCCGAGCCTCAAAGCACTTTAAGTGTCGGTTGTCCATGCAGAGTAACCTATTGCTAGGTAATATTTCCATAATTGCAGATAAATCCAAATGACGATAATCCTAGATCGCTCAGATTGGGCAAAGCAATTGGACCATTTTGTTTGTTTTTTGGAGTAAGTAAACATGCTTTTTTCATTTTTTTGCTAAATACAAAGGATTGTGTTGGGGAGAATGCACTTTAAATGTAAAAAGTTTCACTCAATGCTTTTGGTATCGGCTTTAAGCGTTACATTACAATACAGTACATAGTTGTGACCAATCATTGGTGGAGTGATGAGCACAATAGATGCAGTGATTGCTCGTGAGTAGAGGAACCTCTACGTTGGGTAGTCCCGCCCTTCAGTTCGGTCACATTTTGCAAAGCAGCCCGTTTTTCCAAACAACCCGACAGGATGAGTCTGACAGATCCACAGGTTTAACCCACCGGAGCGACGGCATTTTCAATCCGCAAGCACCTGCAGCGATTTGTAGAGAGGCGTTTCGTTTTGATCTGCCTTTAGAACACGCTTTGAATTCGGCTACTTTCAGCCAGCCAGACGCAGGCGGCAGCAGCAGCGCCTCATCCGGAGCACAGATGGGTCTCGTTGAGCCAGGTGCTTAAAAGCCAGCGTCTGCTGGGCCGCCGCCGCCGGGGCGGGAATAAGGAGCACTGGAGGCCCGGCGCAGGTAGGAAAGCAACAGTCAGCTCGGGGAACGGGCCGTGGATAATAGGTGGAGGTGGGGTGCAGGCAGCCGCGGTGGAACTAGCCGAGCAGGTTGAGCCGGTTCCTGGCGCTCAAGACACAAATGCAGTTTAACTGCTGAGTATTTAGCACACTGTCAGTTCCCCGGAGCTGTTGTTGTCTCCGTGGGAGAACCTCTTTGCACTCGGCTGGCTGTGACGCGGCGGATGCTGATCGAGGGGGAAGCTTAACAGGAGTACGGAGCAATAATTAGGCGGGATCAGAAAGTGCAAGTCTTAAAATGCATAACTAGCGACAATAATGTCATTGGCGGAGGGGGAAATGAAGAGCCTTGAGGGAATTTTCCTGTGTACCTTTTGGCTCTCCGATATGTGACATTGAGTGTTAAATGAATAACTATAGTTGCTGATTAAAGAAGCCCTCAGCTAATTTCACACGTGAATGAATTTACTCTGCAGGAGGAGTTCTGATTCTGACAACTTGACAACAACATTCATCTAAAGAAGCGCAAGGCATTTGTAATTGTGTGTGTGTCATTTATGAATCCACACATATGTACGTGCATTCATGGTGGGCTCCAAACTAAAATCCTAAAATAACTAACGTCTGTCTAGTGGCCTGATAGCAAAAAAACAAAGTACTTTGTTAGTTTGTTGGTATTCTTCTGTATCTCTTGGGGGGGAGAAAAAGTAACCCGGATGATGTCACCACGGTAATCTCAGTTTGGTTTAGAGAGTTTAAGAGACTACAGGAGATCTCATCAAATAAACTCAAGTTGCATGATGGGAAAATGCAGGATCCTCTGTTGGCATTTGACACAGCTGATGTTTACATTTTTACCATGTTTTTTGAAAATGTTGATGTGTATATACACAGTATCTGTCCCTCACAATGTGCAATGCTTAGCTGATCCCACTCTTGTTTTGAGGAAACACCGGCGTGTCCCTGCTCGATTGGTATCCTCCAGTCCAGTGAGCATTATTTTGAAAGAGAATCGTATCCCATGGCGGCATGGCGGCTCTTTGCAGCACCGCCTCTTCCATCGTGGCCCCAGCAGGGGTAAAGCCGGCCCGGGTCTTCCGCCGTCCCTGTCCAGCTTTCATACGGCGTGGAAGTGCCACTTCCTCTCCATGTCGAGGCCCTCGTGGGAGCGAGAAGGGGGAGAAAAAGCTCCCGGACCACCACCACCGACCTCCCTCCCACCTTCCCTCGTCTCTTAAGAGGGGAAAAAAAGAAAAATCTCCTTGTCCTTTGCCAGGTCTTTTGTACCCCCTTTTCTCCGCTGTGGGGCTAATCCCACTCAGAACCGCCCACTGGTTGTGATGCTGCGGGTTTCTGATGTGACTGAATGGGCTCCAGACAGAGAGAAAACGTCACGTGCTGTTCTCTCACACACACACACTCACACTCACGCCCGAGTTTGTTTCTCTGTCATGTTCCTCTTGCCCATGTAAATGAGAGACTTCATCTGGAGTGGTTTTTATCTTTTAAGGAGGGGCCAAAGGTTTACAATAGGCTACTTTTCTCTCGCTGATAGAGATCAGCGGTAAAACAGAGTTCTGATCAGGACCGTTTCATTCCACCTATGTATTCTACACCTTTTAAAAAATATATCTATTTATATATATATAGCTGCCTATCAGGGCCCCACCCTCGCATGAATCCAGTCTTGTGATCGCAAAGCTAAGGGACCACCCACATCACAACAACAGACCCCTCCCTCCCTTTAATGACCTTTAATGTTATGTACCAAGCCTCCTGATCTGGAACCGAGGGATCTTCCAGTCTTGGTGCCGATCAACTCTGAGCCCGTCCTCCCCCCATCTCGCCCCAACCACCCTCCTGCAATCCCCCTTCCCAGCCCAGCCCAGCTCTGCTCTCCTGCTGCAGCTAAGCTTGTTTTTGCGACATAGCTCTGGAGCAATCAGCCTGACAAGGCCGGCCCACTTCCTCTCCCCTCCTCCCCGGCCCAACCCCCTCCCCGCCGTTCTCAGTATACCACACCGTGTTTCTTTTGCTGCATTTCTCTCCTTTTTCTCTTTATACATATATACACGTACGTGTATGTATGTTTCACACTCCGCCTTTCCTCTCGTTCCTCTTTCTGCCTGTATTCTCCTTTTTTCTCTTTCCATCGCCTGCACCCT